GCAGCAACAACACCTGAGATATTCCGCTCTTCACTTCATTCATCGTCATCATCCCCATCAATCACTGTTACAATCAGCTCAAACGAAACAATCAAGGAATCTCTAACTTCAAATCAGACTAGACTTCCCCCTTCATCGCTACATCTTTATCTCAGAAGTTTTTGCAACAAAACCATCGAAAACCCAGATGCATTCAATCACCAAATCATCACTGACGCGGAGAAGCTCTGCAAAATCATCTCAACTCATCGTGATACTTCACGACTAGAGTCTTTGTTGAACTCCACTCAAATTGAACTCTCTCCCGCTCTTGTTGTCGAGGTTCTGAAAAAACTGAGTAATGCCGGAGTTTTCGCACTTTTTTTCTTCAGATGGGCAGAGAAACAAAACGGGTTCAAACATACTTCAGATAGCTACGACGCCTTAATCGAAGCTCTAGGAAAGATCAAACAGTTCAAGGTTATATGGAGCTTGGTTAATGACATGAAAATTAAAGGGGTACTGGGCAAATCAACATTTGCTTTGATTTCGAGGAGGTACGCCAGAGCAAAGAAAGTGAAAGAATCCATAGAGGCATTCGAGAGGATGGAGAAGTTCGGATTGAAGCCTGAACTCCATGATTACAACAGGTTTCTCGATACTCTATGCAAGTCAAGACAAGTTGAGAGTGCACAGCAAGTGTTTGATAAAATGAAAAAGACAAAATTCAAACCAGATATAAAGTCGTACACCATTCTCTTAGAAGGTTGGGGTCAAGACATGAATCTACTGAAACTAGATGAAGTTTACAGAGAAATGAAAGGCGATGGATTCGAACCAGATGCTGTTGCTTATGGAATCATCATAAACGCTTATTGCAAAGCAAAAAAGTATGATCAAGCAATCAACAAGTTTGATGAGATGAAATCAAAGAATATAAATCCAACCCCACATATATATTGCACTTTAATCAACGGGTTAGGCTCCGAAAAGAGATTAAACGAATCTTTAATGTTCTTCGAGCTATCAAAGTCTTGTGGGCACTTACCAGAAGCTCCAACTTACAATGCAATGGTGGGGTCTTACTGTTGGTCAATGCAAATGGATGATGCTTTCATGGTGATTGAAGATATGAGGAGATATGGTATTGGGCCAAATTCGCGTACTTTTGACATAATTCTTCATCATCTTGTGAAAGATCGAAGAACGAAAGAGGCTTATAGTGTTTTCAAACGGATGAAAGATGAGTTTGGATGTGAGCCAAGTGTGAGTACTTATGAGATCATGGTGAGGATGTTTTGTAATGAAGGTAGGGTTGATATGGCGATAGGTGTTTGGGAAGAGATGAAGGATGAAGGAGTTTTACCAGGTATGCATATGTTTTCTACTTTGATTGACAGTTTGTGTCGAGAGAAAAAGTTGCAGGATTGTTGTAAGTATTTGGAAGAGATGATGGATATGGGGATAAGGCCACCTGGACTGATGTTTAATAGATTGAAAAAAGCTCTTGTTGATGAAGGGAAGGAGGATGTTGTGATGATGTTGACTCGTAGGCTTGAGAAATTGAGAACACTTTTGGTGGTTAGTTGAGAGGTTTGTTTGATAATTTAGGGGACAATATCAAGTGTAAGATTTGAAGTTTTAGGTTATATATTGGCATTTTACTTGCTTCCCAACCTTACTAATTATTTTTGTATCTTTCTTCTTAGTGGCTGCCTTTTTCATTCTTTTCTTACATGTCATGTTAGTTTTTTCTCTTTTTTTTTTTCTCTTTCCTTCCCAAACTTCCCAAATCACATGGAAATGATCATCTTTCCTTTCCCACATTCACCACACCCAATTTTAATAAATTGGTTTTAAAAAATTAAAAAATATATAAAACACTAAATTTGAATAACATTTCAATGGATTTGCTTATCAGATCCCTTCAAAACATATTCACTTATTTGGATTCGCTTACAACATCATATAGTTGTCCACTTTGAGAACGGATTCACAAGTGGGCGAAAGATGCTCAGGAAATGGTCGCGGAATGGGAAGGGTACCACACCATATGGGATGGCGTTCCTGCCATTCATATGGTTGACACATCCTCCTTCATGTTGCTACTTCTTCCATACTGTCCACACTTATTATGGTTGGCCTCTCTGACACTCTTCATTGTTTTTGAGGCAAAAGGTTGTTATAACTAGTGGAGACCACATTTGGATATCAATTCTTATTTCAAAGGGAAATGATACGTACACAATATTTTTTTTCCATATATAACAATTTATGTTTTATAGGATTGTACAATATAACATTTTAAAACATAAATTGTTGTGTTTGAATAAAAGTTGTTGTATACGAATCAACCCCCCATTCCAAAGAGTTGTCACATTCAACACGACATGTGCTCTAAGCCTCTACTCAATATGTACCATAATGCCATTCCTAGCCTCAAAATTGGTTTAAGCCTTTAAATATAGTCCCTTAATGTTTGTGTTAAAATATAAAACAACAAACATGAAAATGTGTACTTAAAAATGTATAATGAACCTGTTACAAACAACGAAAATTAGATCTGTCAATTCGTGTATTCGTGTCATTTTCACATGTTAGCAACGAATTTGACACGACACGAATTCACGAAGAGAAATAAGATTTATCTCTCTTTTCAATATGTATTCATGTCGTGTCGTGTCACACAAATTTGTGTCTCAAATTGCCAGGTCTAACGAAATTACCTTTAGGCCTCTGGCCTCCTTGAAATATTCAAATTTCTACATAATGGAGGATCAAAGATTTGAATTCAAATGTTGCCCCCTTTGCCTTCATCTTGAGGTGGCTGTCAGTTATGAACAAAAATGGTGGTTGGAAGTGCACCCGAGGGAACAAGATTATACGAGTTATTGAACAACTCCAAAACAAAGTTTGTAACAAGAAAGATAAAAATTTGATTTATATAACAATAAAATATGAATTGGTTCAATAATACAATATTTCTTCCAACCACCAATATGTCAAATGCAAATACTAAAAGTTTAAGGGAGAAGATTGAACACAAGTATTTATAATGGTTGATACTATACAAAGAGCTTACTCCACTTCGGCGGAGATACTGTGTCTAGCTTCACTCACCGATGATTGATTCACTAAAATCAAATGAGACTTTTAGGGAAATATCAAAAACCATTGTACAAGATTTTCACAATCTAGTTTCTTACGTAGTGTTTGTTTTTTAAGAGGCAAAATGTCTTCAATCTTTTTTACATATATGTGGAATAAAATATGGACCAAAAGTTTTTTTTTTTCATATCTTTAGTCTTCATAAAAATGTTATTCTTTAAAGTCTTCATAAAAAAGACCGATAGTGTTGCTGGCGGTGAAGGTGGTGGATGAGGTAGGGACAAAGGTGGTGGGGGCGGAGGTTAGAGGTGGTAATGTTGGTGGAGGTTATGATGGCAGAGATGGTAGTGGTGGCGGTGGTGGTGGCAACAGTGGAGGGGCGGCGGCGGCGATGGTTGTGGAAAAAGAAATATCAAGTAGGGTTGAAACTTAAAAAACGTCTACTAAAATCAAAAATTATTTTTTTCTTTTTTGGAAAAAGAGGTCAAAAAAATTTTTTTTTATGTCTTTTGTCTTTTGAAAAACAACCACTCTATTCCTTAAATGTCTTTTCGCCCACAAACATTAAATGTCAAAAAAAAAAAAAACTTTTAGCCAAAAAAACAAACACTTGGTCTCTTTGCAAGAAGAGATGGATTACCCACTTAAATGCTTTCAAACACTTACACAACATAGTGATCTTGACTAAAGTCACACCATCAAAGAAATTGTTGGATTGAGTTTGATTTTTTTTTGACTAAGTGGAGATGGTGATCCATAAAGTTTTGGATTGAGTTTGATTTTTTTTTTGGCTTGAATAAACACTTGTTACAATGATTTGTGGATAGAATTTCGGAACATGTTTTTAAGCAAAAATGATCACGATTTAGCCTTATTTAATACCGAAAGAACTGAATGGTATAACTAGAAAATGTAATGGGTGCTAATATATGTACCCCTCTTCACTGACATAAAATGTTAAATCATAGGGTACACACATTCACCCATTCACACAGGAGGGTACACGAAGCAGTCGGAGGTACGTATAAAATTAATCAATGTAACTTGATGGTTGACCGTTCCTTTTTAGACGCTTGACCACACAATCTGGTTTCACACTGCGGTAAGATGTTAAATCCAACCTTTTCAAATTCTCCATTTTCACTAAAATTAGTGATTTTCAACTTTTTAAGATCAAATTCAAATAAGTTATTAGATACTTTAAACAAACATTTTATAAAGTTCTTACCATTTATAAAAATCTCAATTGATGCCTTCGCAACACTTATAACGAAAATGTTATTTTTCCAAAATGCATAACAAAGTATAAATAACAACTTTGACATTGATACTTTTTTAAAATAAAAATATCTTCATTATGATATTATAAAAACTCTAATTTTTATAATATTTAATCTACTTAATTATTTCAATAAATATGAGTATCATAAGTCGTTAGAAATGAATATGTTCAATAAATGCCACATGAACTAGGAATAAAATATGTCAAATGAATTGGAATATGAATGAATTATTATATTTTATGCATTTGATTGATGTGAATTGAAAACTATTTTTTTAATTTGTGTGTGTGTTAAATGTCAAATCATGGGGAGGGGGGATAAACAAAGGATAGGAGGTGGCGGATTACTTGTTCCCATACACGTATCCGTAGGCTTAGGCGTGTGGATGTGGTATGAGTGTGAGTGTTGGTGTAGGGGTGAGGTATGCAGGTTGGGATGAGTGTGTGGACTATGGATGGTTTAGATAAGGGTGGGGTGTGGGAAAAATGATAAAAATTTGTTTTTATTTAATAAATCAGGACTACAATAAAGAAAATGTGAGAGGATTTGTTTTTTATTTTTTAACCATAAGAAATGTAATCTAAATTTTTTGCCGTTAGCTAAAGAATAACAATTCCTTCAATGGAATTTAAATAATTCCGATTTCTTTTATTTTGTCAATCAAGCGTAATTTTTACCGGAATTTATATTGCTTTTCCTCTAAATTCCTTCGAAATTAGTAAATGTCTGAAAGAGTCAACTAGTAAAGATTACTCCATAGAAGAGACCTCAAATTCAAACATTGTGGTTCGAAAAATCAAAGAAGAGTTTATAGGTTTCAACACTTTCTACGTTACATGAACTTTTTATCTTTATTTCTTGTTTTGACTTGTAAATGAAACCCACAAGAAATGTCAACCGGTGAATACAAAGTGAGGACATGTTTTAAAACTCTAAATGAATAAAATTATGTTTGTAATATTACAACCATAGACACCAAAAACAAACTAGAGATAAAAGAGCAAGATTACAACACTGCAAACAGGTTTACAATTTGGGAGGATTCATCTTTATTGTTCACTTTCATGTCATCCTCACCACTTTACAACAAAACTTGCACCCACCCACCCCCAATCAAAAGAACCTCTGTAAACAACAAACAAAGCTTGAATCTTGAGCACAGAGGATGAAGAACAACAATAACTATCCCCCAAATCTTCTCCTTCCTTGATAATCATACGCATTGATTTAACTGTAATCTCGAATCCTCCATCAGATTCTTCAACGACTCTTGAAACTTGTTCACTTGATTCCCTGGTCTCAAAACATTAACATCATCCCACTGTGAACACGGGTCCACAAACCAGCTCTTCCTAGCGGTGCACCACGCCCCGGGTGCCGCCCTCCCACCGCCACGTTTCAAGATCTTCCTATCAACCATGTCAAGAACCGCATCGTTTTTCCCAAACTGTCTTGCAAAAGCCGCACCACTTTCCACCATTTCATTGTAATGCGACTTGTTAAGAAACAATGGCTCCATTTTAGGAGGATTGTCCCACACCATGTACCTTAAATCCGCATTGATTGTTGTGTTTTTGTAATCAGGTGAGTTGCAGACCACCGTATGAAAGTAGACCTCTTGAGCCAAAACCACATTGTTAACATACATCAAGAGAGTCCGAGGGAGATTATCCCAAGCGAATATACAATATTCAAGAAACGAACGGCTCAAAATCACCCATGGAGATCCTGAAATAACAACATACTTTCATTGATTTGTTTATTATAATATAATTTCATTTTTGAAATTCAAAATGGACACTTGCCTGTGAAAACTCTGAAAGCATTAGGTAATGGGCGTTTTTCAGTGGCACGAAAGATTTGTGTTCTTCTTGCTAAGTAAAGGCCTGGATCGACTATGATTGGTCGGATTCTTTGATCCCTAAATTCAATATATAAAGTTGAGATTGATTTAAGTTTCTGGATTAAAAAAGTATAGAAAAATGGGGTTTGAATTTGAAAGAAACATGTTTACTCTTTCCATCCAAGCTCACTGGTATGATCAATGAAATTGGCATCTCGGCTGATGGTGGAGAATGCATGAGACAAATCTGATCAAGAATATACAAACAAGGAAACACCATAAGTATATTAATGTGGATGTATGTGTTCACAGATATATGGGCGTTTGTGAATTGTGCGTTTATATGTAATATGTGT